GCTCTTAGGGTGAAGGCCATCGCTATTAGGATGGAGGCCATGGCTCTTAGGGTGGAGGCCATTCCAAAGAACAATGCCTGTTTCCGGATTTATGCTCTTGTGCATAACGTCTAATACCACCTGATGGCACGCATCTTCATTTGCTCAAACCGTTGCTTTGGATCACAAAAAGCAAACCCGAGCATGCACCCCTGTGGGTCAGGAAAAGAAGGTACGGTATAAGGGATTACCTGGTTGGCTATCCATGTTCGCTTCGCCAACAGTATGTATGGTATGCCTGATGTAGTGGGGAAGGAGAGGCAAAGGGTGACTTAGTGGTTTTTCCACCAATGCTCCTGCGAGAAAAAGGACAATGGTTGTTACTTTTTCGGAAGCATCACAAGCTCGAAAGAGAACAATTGAACGCCAAAATGATTTTGTCTCAAATTGAGGAGGGCACCCAACCCAGGGATGGTTGATTATTTGATTTATATACTACTGTTTTTTTCCAAGGTGTTTGGCTTGTCTCCCTAAAAACAAACCTGCGCTGGCTTTGTTTCAACACGATCAACGAAAATATAAATCGATGCCACGATCCGCCTTTTGCATGTGCTTGTGCAGGTGGATAGTGCAATCCCGGGTCACCGGCTCCTAGTGTTCGAGAGTCTTTGGAGTGAGACACAGAATGAGAGGAAACCCAAAACGACACCATCCGCACGTTGTCCCGGTCGAATCCACTCCACGGTTAAGATGATGTGACTGGGAGATCTACATGCCATTAGCGCCCATTTGCATTGGATCAATTAGTTCCTTTGAATACAGCAAAAGAAGGTTGCACTTGATAGCAAGTTCAGATGATGGTGATCTTTGCAAGTTGGGTCCAAAAAATATCGAGTCCAGCATCCAGCTCCTTGAAGTAAGAATTGGAAATGAAATAAAACGACGAATAACTAGGTCTGGAGAAACAAAAATCATCAATTTGAGACAGGAGTGTCTCTGGCCTCTGAGAAAGTCCTCATCTGACGGCGTCCGAGGAGATGGCCAAGATGAAGTGTGTTTCCCCGTGACATAGAAATGTCGCGGTCATCTACGGAAATGCCGATTGCTATGGTTCGATTGAACATTGATTTTTCTTGTTCGCATGTTTGGTGGGCAAATATCTCCTAAACGATCATGCTGAAGAAAGAGTACGGCATGGTTTTGATCCACATCATTATGTGTATATACATATATACAGAAGTGATGGCAAGGCACATCTCCGTTTGCCTTGGACTCAGTGAAAAAAGAACTGTAAAATTGGGGAGCCTCCCTCCTCTGCAGCTCATCCCGAAACTCCTTGGTGCGAGTGGTCTTCTTCTTGTCGGTGGTCTTTCCCATGGCCTGGGATTAGAGGTGCGGCGCTGTCCCCACCAAACAAGATGATTCAAAGATATAAATAAAGTCAGCCAATGAATTGCTCAAAAGTTTTTGTGGAAAGTAAGTAGACTTGGGAGTTTGCCATAACTTCTCCGAGACTGCAAGAGTGGAGGCTCAGTCGGCTAGAGGGCTGTATATGTATGTGCATTTATGTACATACATGTGTATGTTATATGTACATACAGTATATATTATATATTGTTGGGAACCAGGGGTCTGAGAGTGCACCCACCATAGCATGGGCACTTAGTCGTTGTACCAAACAAGAGGGTACGGATCCTTGGTACATGGGTGAACTCGAAGCTTGAGACCATCTTTATTGGTGCTCATGCTTGGGGGCCTCAAAATGGATGCATAAAATGGGTAAGGTTCTTGGACCCCGTTATGTACTTTGTTGAGTCATCTACCCCAAGAACTCAAACGACTCACTCAATGAAGCAGGGAGCTTTATTGGCTCAGATTTTCGGCAAGCCCATGAAGGTACATAGCTGTGCAGGCTGCTGCGTTGGCTGAAAAGCCAAGAAAAATGGAACCATAGGTCTATGAAAAGCCTCCAAAATAAAGTGACCCAAGAACTCTTTGTCAAAAAGGCAAAGAACGACTCTTTTTACCCTTATATATATATATATGGGTTGTCTCATTATTGGAGGCTCATTCAAAAACCGTCACATTGCAGATCTTCAGTCCACTATCGTTGCAAACCTTCGGACTACGACCTGTTCACGATATCTGAAGAGATCCGCCTGCCGCGCAGTCCAGGCCGGTTGCAATGTGTATTCATGCTTCGCATCGCGCCAGACCACCTCGTGGGTGGAGTCAGAGAGCTTCAAAAGCTCCAAAAGCTGCGACATCGTGGAAGTCCCATGAACTTGGATCTGCTCCGTCCCCTGGCCAACAACCTCCACATTCCAAGGCCATGGCTCTGGAATCCTGGCACGTCGCGTATCCACGCTAATCTCCAAGCCTGGTGGCAACTGATGCCATCTCTCAAAAGGCTGCCAGTCATAGGTTGGCTGGAAATCTTCGAAGCGTCTCACATAAATGTCTATAGACTCCCGGCCTAAGCATTCGAAGCCCTCAAGATCTTCAAGCGTCTTCGGCCTGGAAGAAGCATCCATAGCCGCAGTGGCTTTCCAAAGGACCGCATGAATGCGATGTTGACCCTCTGGAATCTTGTGCCAAACGAAAGCTTCTGATGGAATCTTGTCCAGCACATTCATGCTGCCTGGTGTGCCCCGTGCCTCAAACCAAAAGGCAATACTGTGAGCAAGAGAAGGGTTAAGTGTCAGTCTGACATCAGCAAACTCCTCCCCAGGATTGAGAGGGATGTAGTCCCCTTGTTTTGGCGCAAGGATAATCTGATCTGACAAATCCTTCGTGCCCTTGACACTGCTTGGATTTGGCACAGAAACCACCGCCATGACAATCTCAGCTGCTGGGAAGCTAAAACAGAATGGCCTGTCAAATTGTAACAGAACACTCCAAGACAATGGCGCCGTCAGCTTGCAAAGATGCTGGACACAAAAAAGAAGTTAGAGTTCATCATAGTATCAAGGCATTAGCAAAGACATAATTTCCTGACAGACATGAGTCAACAAACCCAGTTCTGACCTGTGCTTTGTTGAATATCCAGAACGCTTGAGCCAAAGAGAAAGGAGAAGGATAACAACATCACAGAAGGAAACAAAATATGTTTACTTTGAGTGGGCGAATGCATGTCATGTTCAAACACATCGGGCAGCAGGGGAGATGGCATTGGCAAACCTGTGACCCTCAAACACCTTGACCACGCGCATTATGTGCTGCAAAAATGATGGCCCCTACAAATGCTGGTCATTGTTCCCTTTGCCATACTCTTGTAATTGGATGTAATTGGTACAAATCCTTATATACACTCCAAAAAAAAAAGACACGATGTCAAATGCCCTGCCATTTGGGAAACTTGTCAGCATGTGGTTCATCTAATTCGGCCATAACGTTCAAATATGAAAAGACGGCCCAGATGAGTTCGTTCGCAGCACGAGACGAGCTCATGACTAAATGTTCGACTGAGGGCTATGCTATCCCCATGTCATCGAGCAGGTCTCTTCCAGAAACAAACTCGGAAAGGTAGTAAACCCAAATGTCTGGTAGACTAAGTGTTCCTGTTGGACCCTGCTGTTGTGCTGGTTGTTGCTCTTCTCAATTTGTCATTGCTTTTGCCGTTGTGGATTTCATGCATTGTGTCATTTCATGGGGGTCTCGTCACTGCGTGATTGTGCCTGTGGTTATCATGGTTGTTGCCATATTCTATGGCTTGACATTGCTGCTTCCGTTGTGCCGTCCTATTGATGTTGGCTCTCGTCACCATGGTTTTTGTGTTGTTTGTCTTGCTCTTGCTTCCCCGGAGTGCCATTGCTACAAGCTCATCATCCCTTGCAAAGCCTGTCCATTGCTCTCCCTGGTCAGTTGTTGATGCTGTCTAGGGATTCGTCATTTTGTTGCTATTGTGGCTGGGCTTGCCCTTGCTGTCCTTCCTGTCCCTGCTTCCTGTCGTGGCGGGACAGTGGTGGGACCTGCTGGGTGGGTAAACATCCATGAAAATCACCCAACGAAGCAGTCCACTTCTCGCTGCTAGGTTGGAGGCCATTGCTACCAGACCGATCTGCTGATCAACCCATCTGACCGAGGCATGGACTGGCGAGGTCGCTCCCAGTCTTTTCGGCGAAGGGGCCCCCCTTTGAGCCCAAACGATCGAATGTGATGAGTTGAAGAACGGGTTCTCGGCCAGGGGCTTCTTTCAACGGAAAGTTGCCTACGGCAGTTGGGACTCTCCAATTCTGTATATGATATATGACATATATATATATACATATGTATAACACCTGCATTAAAGAATGCAACCCTTTTCAAAATTACAGGCATCAGCCACATACTCTATCACCAGGTTCCAAGCAAATGGCTGAACTCATCCAAGGCAGCTCAAACAAACCGTATGACGATTTGTTCATTAGATACACTGAATTCCATGGATGATGTTGGAAGGGTTCATCTTTTGGATTGTCCGATGCCATAGCCAAATGTGTTCAGGGCCCTCCAGGCACTTGATCTTCGCGTTGCAGTCCAGAACCCTGCGCTGTCTGCCGGCATTGATTTTCCATGCCATGCTCAGACTCTGCCTCCGCCTCGAGCGGACGATCGAAGCCGACTCCTCGGCCCTGTGGCAAACTGCAAATGGACAAAGAAAAGCGAAGGATGTGTGAGGGCTGTTGATCCCGAAGTCCGAGAATGTGGTCTCAAACCAAATACAGTACCACCGGGATCAGTTGGAAGCCGCGGCTTCTAGTTCTCAAGCAATACCTACTGTTACAAGCGGGTGGAGCTCATCCTATTTTTCTATCTATTTCTATCCCGTGTTCAAATCCCTTACAAGCATCCTGGGGTGGAGGACCAGCGTTCCTAACCTGGGTAAGTCCACTCTCAACAGGTGCCCCGCCACACAAACCGACCGCAGATGTCGCCTAAAACTCCGCTGCTCCGCTCAATCATCTTTCACGGTCTCCTTGGGGGCCGGCGGCAGCACCCGGTTGACTTGCACGCAAACATGGATACCTGGAATTCTAGACCTGTTGCTTGTTGTATCGAAATGTAAAGTGATCCGCAGCGTAACAAATCAATAGAAATTCTGGAGCCAAATACGTTCCTGCACTTGTAAGGGCCCCTGTTCTTCTGCTGCTACTCATCCAGGTTCACCAGAGTCCATGGCGGACGAAGCCAAACCTATCAACCCTGCTGTTCTTCTGAAGTTCTAAAGCAAAGAGTCAAAGGGCATGTTATACTTTGTTGCCTGGGTTTGGGCACTCTATTGAAGCCATACCCCAAAGGTCATCAGTGCTATGCTGCTCGGGTGGAGTGTTGAAACACCTTCTTAGCAGAATGTTGGAATGTCGTAGGAAAGCACCAAAGAAGAAGATCCCCTCCGTTGCTTCCGAGAACAAATAAATGGAGAAAACAAAAAGGACACAAAAACAAAGACCCTTTGTTTCTGCGACTCAGCGGCCGTTTGGAGATTCTTGAAGCTCTCCACAGGCACCTCCAAAGAACATGAGCGATGGGTGCTACATCATGAGAAGGACTGAAATTACGAGCAAAAACCATGTTCTTTAAACTGACATAAACTAACTGCCTTTGACATTGTCGGGCAACAAGGATGTCTGTGATCCATGCGAGGCCTAGTATATATACTCTCTTTCAAGCAAACATGCAAGTGGGAAATGGTCCATTGGAGGCCGACTGTCCTCCAACACTGGAAGGGGGTTCACTCCCGATGATTCACCAAGTGAGCAGATCCATCCCCAATGAGATTCTATGGGTGTCGTTTGCTTCAATGAAATCGACCGCAACCGGCTGAAACCACTTCGGTCCACACATGCACGGTGGGGGCATACGGAAAGCGGAGCATTCGACTTGATTTCAAGGGAGAAAAACGGAGAAAGCTCACAACATCTCATAACAAATCTACCCAGATCCACCCAGTACCAAGTGTGGATGGGGAAGGGTTGGCCAATGGTGAGGTGGAGGTAGTCACAGGATTATATATAAGACATAGCATGTCCACGGCGGGAAACCCGGGCATAATTGTTTGTCGCGGTCATCTTCGCCAAGCGTGGGTGCAGCTCCTAGTAACCAGGGCATCGCTTCTAGTAACAAGGGCGTTACTACTAGTAGCAAATAGCTACTAGTAGGATTGTTTGTTTCCGGTTTGCTCCGTTGAAAGAGTCTTTGGGTGTCTTGATTTCCCACCAGAGGAGGACCGGGCACGTCTGCCCACAATGGAAAGGCTCAAGTTCTGACTGGTTACAGTAACTAGCTAGTTGTGTTCATGTCCAGTGCAATGTGGCCCGACAAAATAGAGGTGTCACGAGGTGACTTCCAACAAAAGCACTCCCCTGCTACTCAGTTATGTTCATTCTTCCCATCCTCTGAGATTCGCGCATGTTGCACCAAGGTGAACATCTTCTCCTTGGCATCTTCGTCCTCTCCAAAATTTGCGCCAATACGTTGGCGTCTTACATCTACTCAAGTGCCGCGATGACCACATGTCACCACTCCCAACTCGCTTAAGTTAGACAAACCAAACTTGGAGAGCAATCTCCGCAGGTTCACTCTGTGGGCAAAGGACTAGCCACAACTGTTCCTCCAAACTTTGGACATTGAATCTGACAACACCTGCTCTAGACTGTGGATGTTAAGCCACACTATCTTGCACAATCTAAAACGGCCTCATTGCGCTTCCGGGAGAGGCGCACACGCACCCGCCGAGGCACCTGGGTGATGAGACGAGAGAAGCTGAATGGAAGCCCGTCTAAGCCAAGAAGCTCAGCAGCTGAGTCTTCTACCAGTTGTGGTGGAACGATTCGAATTCCAAACAATCAACTCACAGGCGGGCAAAATTAGAAGCTCCATCTACCAGCCTGGTGCGAATTCTCTGCTAGGGTGTTGTGAGAACTGGTCGGCCTGGTAGGCGGACGAACAAACAGCCTGCCATTGACAAATCTGGACATCTTCGTTCCGAACCGTCGGGAGCCAAACTGGTTCAGGTCAATGGCGACCCGAATCGTCCACCGAGTCGCGTTTCGAACGCCGTTGCTCCAGAGGAACTTGTTCAGCTTCGTATCGATGCGCACATCCTCGCTGCATTGGGGGGGAAGACGATGAACTTCCACCAAGTCTCCCACATTGAAACAAACAAGAAACAAGCAAACCTAAAGTCATCGAAAGGACGGCCCCGCCCTTTCAATTGAACACACAAGGGCTCTGGTGGGGCATCTTGACCGTCTCCTGGGTGAGCATCACCTTGCAAGCAAACTGCCTCACCACCCGCACCGCTCGAGGTGCCCGCTTCTTAAAGGCGACCTGCGATCGAGTACCGGTCAGGTCAGTACCACAGTTTCTTTTTGGATTTCGAAGTGGGGGGAAGGACAAACCAGGAATAATCCGTGTTCTGATAATTAAACAACATGCTCTTTCTTGGGTGCAATCAAATGGTCAAAGACCCTGTGCGCGAAATACATAACAGCTTGGGAGACTTAGGACTTAGGAGGGCCCTTTGGTAGGGAAACACCTCATCATTCTGACACTGAGCTCCCTTCAAAGCAAGAGATGACATGCGTGCGGTCGCGATGCTTCACTGTGGCTGATGCAACATCGAGGTGGCAGGCGGTGTTCATCGTCTGCTCCCATCGTCTGTAAAGTGCAGGCGGTGTTCACCCACAGCTAAGGAATCCCGGCCTCCTGAGAATCAACCTCCTGACCCCAAAGTGAAAAAGGAACGGTACTTCCCAACAGTTCTTCGAACTACAAGGAGGGACGGGTCGGATGAGGTTCATTAACAGGAAGAGGGGATTCAAGTCATTCACTCATTTCAATTCGTTCACTGCAAGCAGCTCCCGTTGAAACTTCGAAAGCCGGACTTGCACAAGGAGCAGTGAGGAGCGTGCAAATGCGTGAGGTTGCCTGTGCCCCAAGCCTGCCGTACACTACTGCAGCTGATGTACTCAGGACCTGCGCAGTTCTCCACCTCTGGGCAAGGGCAGCACTTGGCATAACCACGGTATCCCCGCCAGCAATGACAGCCTTTGCCGGACGCAAGGCCAAAGCCGCTCTGGCAGGACCAAGCTTTGTTTTCCTCGCAGAAGTAGCGGCCACCATAGTAATCGCAGCTCCAGCCCTGTCCACGAATGGGCCAGCAAGTATCTCTCCAGTAGGTTAGGCCAGAGCTGTTACAGTTCATCTCACAATCTCCTGAACAATTAATCCCTGCCAGTTTGGCACACGGGTTCTCGGGAGGCCACGAAGACGCACCCAGTTGAGCACACAGCAACCTGATCAGAACAAATCGGAACGCCATCACAGCGTAGATTGATCTCAACAAAGCCTGCTAGGGCTAAGGGGCATCGAGCCACAAACGATCAACCACCCAAATATCCAAGGCGAAAACCTCATGTGCCGTTGGATTTCCAACAATTTGACATCTAGTCAAACTCAATCCTAAACTCTGCACTGGCAAAGAAAACGAGAGACGGCTGTTTGGAAGCTAAGAAAATGCATGTTGCACACTTGACAGACAAGTCCAGGTATTGAGATTGTCTGATCCTGGCTTGGAACATCAATGGCAGGCTCACTCCTCCATCCCTGGCTCTCCGACCCCCTGCAGTCCACTTCTGCCAAAGGACAAAAACACCAACACTTGAATTCGGTTACCTGCTGTTCACAAACAATACAAGCTCTAAACGCATTCCTCTTTCATTTTGGGAGATCACACAGCCTTCTCCCTACATTAGTTCGGGGAAGATCATGTGAGTCTTGGTCCCACACGCCGGAGCGGCAACCTGTTCCAAACTGCATGATCTGTCTGCGAAGCGCCTTCTGCATGTGCTTGTGAAGGTGGATCGTGCAATCACGCGTCACAGGCTCCTCTACTACAGGGAGTTTCGCAGGGCGGTGGCGGATGAGGGGAGCACGGAGCACGGTCTCTGACCTCCAAAAATTGATGCAATCAAGATTTACATATGTATATATATATATCCAAAGTCGGTGTGTCACCAGTTCCAACAGTCCAAGAACGTCTCTGATGTCCTCTATACCACTAGAGTTGCATGTCATGATTAATCAAAGCTGCCTGACTCATTGAGGGTGGTTGTGATGCTGATGATGATCATGACCATGACAATAAAAAGGAGTGAGGATAAATCTCAGACTCTTGATTCTTTGCATGATACTCATTGCCTCCAACCTGACTTACCTCAGGCCTGGAACTTTCCAACCAGCGCTTCCCACGGCTGCTCCTTGCCCGCTCGGGCAGTCTTTTTCGCCTGCGCGGATGGATTGCAAACCACCAGGTAGAGAATCTTCAAAGCCTCTCTCTGGATGGCAATCTATGGAAGTTCTGCAGAATGTCCCTTTGCAGGGTCTCTTGGATTTGCTCCACCAGTCCTGAGATACAGGACTCCTGTTCAGCTTCGCATGCACTCGATGAAATTCTCTACCACCCCCCTTTCGCTGCTGGAAACTTAACACGTGCATGCCCTCAAAAATATCCACTACGATGCCAAGAGAGATGATGTAACAGGATGCAACAAATCCTCATCTGTCTCAGGATGAGAAGGGTTCCTTCCCACTGGTACAAAGGAAGCTCTTGATCCCAAAAGTTGGAGACACGTGAGGCCAAGCCCATAAACATTCCCCTGGCAAGCAAACGACCAGAATGGACCTGCCTGAGGCTTCGCCATGGCGGTCGGCGCGGGTTGTCTAGAGACAGCTTGAGATGCCGAAAAGCCAGCCAGTGTCAACTTCTCACATCTAATGCCTCCAATCCCATCCCACCAAATCCTGTTGGAAGGCCAGGGAGTCTCAACCACCCAGGCGACTTCACCCACAGGGAACCCAAGCAGTCTCCACAACCGAGTTTCATCCATTCAGATTCCAAACGCTGCAACCACGCCGCTGAACTTCACACCACAGCTTCCACAAACCCACACGTCTCGGCGGGAAGGGCGTGGCGTACCGGGCTGCCCGAAGAGGGCGCTGACGATGCATAGGGCGATAGCCCAGCAGGTGCTTGAAGGGCACCCGGACCCAACGGCCCTGGTGCCGGCATGGGCGCTGGGGGCGGTGGGCGGAACTGCCCAGCTCCTGCAACCATTCGGTCATTTGGGGATGTGTGGGCAGGTGAGCGGTGTGGCTCGGGTCAAAGTGTGTGGCTATGAGGTTCGTCCATGGGTGACCCGTTGAATCCGCCATCCCATCATGTCCCGCTCCTGCTCCAGCTGCTCCAGTGTAAGGCATCTGAGTGGAAGGATGCATTATCAAATATGCTTCTCACCGGAAAAACACCTATTTCTCTATACATATATATATATATACATATATATATATTACATCTGCAGAATAGATCTTCCTGAAGGTGTTCCACGACCTTCCACTTCTGAGTCTGTCTACAACCTCGATCTACGACCTCTTCTCGATCTCTTGTGCTCACAGTCCCTGTGGCCCCGACAATCGGAGGTGCAGCCTGGGAGGAATTCTCACTGCCAAGGGGAATGAGGCAGGAGTATATGTGTGCATTCCGCAAGCTTCACAGTAGGTGCTAGAATGAAGGGCACAGCATGAAGTCAAGATCCCGCTGAATTTAAGCACACATCTGCAATTTCCCGCACGAGCTTTCCACTAGGACCTGTCCTGAACCTTTGATTTGTTTTTGGCTGTGAAGACTGACTCACCTTGCGCAGCGGGTTTCTCAGAGACCTGGATGCATTTGACTCATACCCAATGAGGACACCTGCAGTAACTTCTTACTAGTTAAACCCAATGCACCAAATGCAAGGACCCACTTTTCCACTGGAAGCATACTCCATGGCAACTGGGTCTGGGGCCCGTCAGGCTCTCAGTGGCTCATGGCTGGTCATCTGTGGATCAGGAAACAAGTGGAGAAAACATCAGCTGCTTTTCGATCTCCTGCGGTGGATGCGCCACTCTTAGTGGAGCTGCCCAGCTAAAAGACCTCGAAAATCCAGCCTGAGGTCGTCAGATTAGGAACCTGATGAGACGATAGAGAACCTCATTCAATGCGGACTCCAATAAACCATAGCTAACCCTGGTTCCGCATCGTTAGAATGAGCTATGAGCCAGCTAGTTCGACACTTGAGAACGCGCACGCAAACATATCACATGGGTCTTCAACACAGGTACTTGTATTGATTCTGAGCTTGGGGAAATGCGAAACGACGTAGGCCTCAGCGGACCTTTTCTGCGTTCCTTGAGCCAACCCATCAGGTGTGGCTAGTTGGTACATTTCTCATTTGCGCAAACCTGTCCAAAAATGGAGGGGTGCTCACACAGCTTGACTTTACGCGAGCGCGCTCCCCCTTGAAGGGTCTCCTTCAACATCCTGCTCGCGAGTAGTCAGCTGCTCGTCTCCGCTCCAAGGCTCCAGTTCGGTTAGGTGGTCTTTCTATAGCCCTTGTGGTGCCCGGAGACAGCACCTGCAGGCGGGATTGGTCCCTGCGAGCTTCCGCTTCGATCACCTTCAGCAGGAGCTTCGCCATGTTGGGGACCAAACTTAGAAAAAGGTGTGTCCACACCATTCATAGGTGTCCTTCAGGTCACAGTTGCGGCTTTCGATCCAGTTGTCGGCTCTTCCAGACTTCTTGCGTGCTCCCTCGGATGAAGGCCACCGTGACTCGTGTGGGTGCCCAGTTGCCGATGGCCATCAGCGTGCCACGGTGAAGCGGATGGAAGGCACTTGAGGACGCTCAGCCACCATTCCCCACTTCCCAATCCGCAGCCCAGGCACTCCCATCGATCGACTCCGGTCTCAAATCTGCAGCTCAGCAGCCAAGGCTCGTCCGCGCCGAGTGATGAGTTGATGACACCAAGTCGGTGGGGGGTGGCAAACCATATTGATTAGAATCAACTCTTATCCAATACCTTGTGGAATTCTCTGTCAGGTCCTCTTTCGTCGCTAAAGGACATTCATCAGTGGCTGGGCCGATTCCACCGATCAGCCAAGGCCCACATCGATGCGCCAGCTCGTGAGAGAGGCAGGGACCAAAGATGTACAGCGTCCTGCCCCCGAGATGTACTTCGTCCGGAGAGGTTGGACACATGTGGGAAGACTGAGCTCATTGGGCATGGAATTGTTGCTTAGACACGAGGAAAGCCGCCAACTGTTTGAAATAAGCAGGACCTCACTTTCATGCGCAAATTCAATAAACAGGACTTAGGTTGTTTAAGTGGTGTACGGTTTGGTCGTTTGATCCATCACGAAACAAGCCAGCTCATCAAAAAAAAGGCTTTTGTCGAAATGTCGAAATGTTTAGTTGATCTGTCTATATAATCCGGCAGGTCCCCAAATCGGCAGCCTTTGAATGAAAATAAGAAAGCAGAATTGAATTTGATGCAATCTGCCGCTTTGGGGGAAGCTGACCAAGCACTGCCAATACCCACTCGGTCTCCAATTCGTCATCCAACCGCAAGGGTGTGTCCTTCGCATGTCTGGAGCTTCGCTTCTGATTCTTTCGTGTCTGCTTTGCAAGAAGAATAAGAACTGCTGAGGGACCCGGAAATGGAACGGTCACGCAACGGTCAGCAACAAACATTCATCTTGTCGTATCTACAACTAAACCACACATCCTCCAACCTGGGGAGGATCATCCAGTCAGTCACTCAATTCAATCCACTCCTTGGTATGGCGGCGTGCATTAAGGGTGAAACTGCTCCTCCACCGCCAACTGCAGGAGGATCTGCCCTTCGGAACGGATTCAGCGCCAGGGCCACGGCTGCCGCGCTCCACGGGCCACCAGCCGGAAGCTTCAGCAACCTACGTCCGGAGGCCAGCCAGCCAGCCAGTTAGGGAGCCAGCCAGCCAGCCAGTTAGGGAGCCAAACGTACCTCCAAGGGCGCTGTGTTCAAGGACGGCTCCTTGCGCGTGTGCTCCATGGCCCAACACGATGGACCCAGCCGGGGGAAATCAAGATACGAATTCGTCTCATCTGTCACTTTTGCCACCTCTGTCTTCGGTTCTGATCCAGAAACTGCAGATAGAGATCGGGGGTTGTGAGCAGAAGCGCACAAGCGCAAATGAAAAGACTGGAGATCAAAAATAGGTGAAGTACCTAATAAAGCAACAACTGACTCTAGGGATGACCAAAACTACTGTTCCCCTTGTCCAACCAAACGCCAGTCTGCCCAGTCAGGCTTCCCCACTGGTGGAGCTGCATTGGGAAGACGAATGCCGATGCCTCCACCCCGATCGTCCCGACGACTGGGCAGTGGCTGGAGCCGTTGGCCCTACCCTGTTGGAAAAGTGGTGAAAGCCGAGAGCTGAAGGACTTCACAAGAGGTAGCTACAAGGCTCTCACGAGACCGGCAAACGACTTCGTACAAGACTTCGTACAGTATTTCCTGTTCACAAAGAAGAGCTTATTCACACAGAGTCATTCAGATGGAGAAACTTGTTCACACAGAGCGGTCTGTTAAGTGGGAGGCTCTGATTCACATAAAGGGCTTTGCTCACATAGCGCGGTTTGTTCAGGTCTGTTCACCTGAGAACAATACAGGTGTCTTTATTCACGCAGAGAGTCTGGCTTACACAACACTTCAAGAAGAAAGGCACATTGGCACGCAGTGCTCATTCATATTGTAATTGGTCACAGAGGGAGGCTCATCTTAGAGACTCTCACTCACACAGCCCATCTCATTCCATGGGTGGTCACTTGCCTCGCTAATAATGGCGATTGCTTTTTCTGTGTGTTTCCTGAAGTTGTCCCTACTCAAGAAACCGGGCTGAAGCTTTGAGATTCCTATCATTTTGCTGAACTAAACTCCAAGCATCTTTCTTTTGTCCGATTCTTGCGTAGTCGCCAGACCAAGTGTCAGGTGCCAGGAGCTTGACAGAAACGAGCGAAACAAAAGCCCTCGGTCAAGCAAGCGTAGAAAACTGTGGAGTGAGGAAAACGGTGTGTGTGTGGGTGTGTATTGAAGGATATCCCTTGAGAAACAGACAGGATGTTTCGCCCTTGGGTCAGGGCTGCCGGGATCCCCACTTTGAAAAGTAACTTGGGCATGTCACGTGGGGCGCAGGCTGCAACAAGAGTTCTTAATATGCAGACTTAATCGATGGCAGAAGGGAGTCGGGCCAAGGCAAGCGGCTGCTCACAAAACCTTGCAGCAAATTGTCAAATGAGGTGCTCTTTCCAGAAGAAGTACCGGCTTTGCTGCTCAAAACATGTCACAGAGACTCCAAGAGCCACCCTACTCTCTCCGAAGTACAAGGACATCCTTAAAGGCATCGACCTCTACAAACCTTGCCCCCCCGAATCGCTTTGGTCTCCCACTCAACACCTGTTGGAGCCCTGGCCTGGTCCAAAGTTGCCCAAAGGCGCCTGTCAAAGGCCATAATGACTTGTTTGCAGGATTTCTACCAGGTCCGAGTAGCTACCCTGAGCCCAGAGCAACGTCCCTCACCTGAAATGCCAGTGCTTTGTCCCTGAGTTCCCTGATCTTCTAGTCGTGTGGAGAGAGGGCCATTGTACAGAGACTGCGCCAAGAATGAGGCATACTCTAGTTGGTCTTTCCCCTGCTAAATGTCAGAGGTGAATGGTGACAAAAGACTTCGAGTCCTGACTGGTTCCAATGGCTGTCAGAACTCTATAAAGGAACAAGTGGTGATGGTGCAATGGTGCAACCACTCTGTCAAGAATAAATTGCGGCCTGCCACTAGGCACAAGACCTGTTTGTCAGAGTGGATGGTTTGGGATGGTGTTGTTAGGATGTCCAGCGACAAAAAGCAAAGAAAATGGATAGCTTCACCTGACTTCATGAAAACTGGCCGATCTTGAAGAGTCAAAACGTTCTTCCTTCTATGGCACTATGGGACCATCTATGTATATATATATATATATCCAATGTACAACTT